AACTAAAACTGAAAATTAAATATGGTTTTGCACCAGATTTCTACCAAAAAGCAAAGGCAGTCACAAAACATAATTCACAGATCCTTTTTTTTCAATCGCCTTCTGTTTGCTGTCCTTCAATGGGGAAACTGGAAAAGGCATATGCCACTCAGCCACCCTTGATTTTCCACCACACAGCAGGCTCCAATCTCCTGGCTGGGGATAACAGCTCCTCCTGGTCACTTCTGAACCAACAATGCTTTCGTTTAACTCTTTGGTTAGCCAACTAGGGTATTTTTTTGCCAGCAAGGATATGATGAGTTCTAGTAAGAAATTAAATCGTTTTAATTTTAAAATTTCTACTTTCTTACTATAAAATTCTTTTAGAACCACATAACTTTCTTTAAATGTTTTTAGAACCAAAATATTTCCCACAAATTATGAATCCTTAGAAGGTACCAAGTATTCCTGCCAAATACCCCAGCCATCGACAAACCTTAAAACCCTACTTGTTGGTATTCATTATTTGGGATCCTGTTTCTGTTCAGGGCGTGTCCATGTCAGGACTAAAAGGGAGCACAGGCTGGCAGCGGGTGTTTTGTGCCGTCAGCTGGTTAAACACACAAATGGTAAATGGAGTCACAAAACAGAAGGAAAACATTGTGCAACCCAAAGAAGCAGAGTTCTCCCCAAAAGCCAGTCGCATATTTTGGCCGTAGTTAATCTAGAAATGGGAATAATGGAAAGCGTAGAAGCACTGTTGGACTCTGGTCAATGTCGCAACACAAAGTTGCAAGTTGAACTTCGGCTTCAGTCAGTTGAAGTCGACTTCTTTGGCCAAGAAAACATGAAAGTTGATCAGGAACTTTACCTCAACTAGAGACGATGGAACAAAGAAATTGTTCGAACCATTTTTCACACACTCAGAAATATAATTTTGAAATATATAATATATTTAAATAATAATACTTAAATAAAAAACGTGGTATTAAAAAGAAAGTCTAAATGAAGCTGTATTCTAATAGATGACTTAATGATGTTCAATGACTTAAAAAGATATTCCTGAATCCCAATTCGCTCTCAATTATAAATAGTGAAATGTATTCTAATTTCTTCCTGTGGGATTATGGAGTATTTTTCCACTCTCTATCCATTGACAATAACTAATTTTCACTCTGCACACGTGAAAGTTGCTCCAGCTCCAGTTTTAAGTTCCCGTTCGAGCTCCTTGAACTTTTTGCGACAACTTTATGCCAGTTATGTGTATTGGCTACAGTTTAAGAGTCACTCCGCAGACTTATTTGTACCCCGACTTCATCGTCTTCCTTTGTCCCCTTGTGGAGCTCAGTTAGGGTGGGGCTTCTGCCACTTCTCGACTTCCTTTACAAAATCTTAAACTTTCACAAATTGCACATACTTTGTGGAAAGTCGAGGCGGGCAGAAGGTGTATATGTAATTAGTTGTCCAGAGTTGGGGCCACAAGATAGTTGGCAGTGTGGAAAGGCGAGAAATCACCTGTGATGATCGAAAAAGTGTAAGTAGCTTAGAAAAGTGAATTAGAAACTTATTTACAACATTTTCTTAACAAACACAAAAACTTGGACACTTTTAAAGTTATTTTAAGTTCTAGGTAAACTAAAACATGTTTAAATAATTTTAATTAAATAACAAGAAAGTAAACTTACTTAGGAAGGACGTTATATATCCCTGCAGCAATTAAAATATAGAATCAAATTGAAATCGATCATATCGTAGCTTAAAATATTTCTTTGTAGAATTTATAGCATCCCACAAAAAATTACGTATACGCACTGGTGTAAAAAGTATTTGATCATAACTAAGCTTCAAATCATTTATTTGAATTTAGAAAACTGTTCTGAGTTTGGTTTTATTAGATTATTTAATCTGCATACTAAGTTAACAAATATTAAAAAATTTAAATTTTCCAATTTTAAAAATTTTTACAATGTACAATATTAAAAAAAAAAAAAAGACATTTTTTTGCAGACATACTTGTTTCGATTTCCCTGTTGATGCTGATCAAGAATATATATGATTATAGGGTCGGAAACGACTTTTAACAACATTACAAGCTTCTGACTAAAATTATACAATTATATGATCGAAACCTCAGCTCTTTTATATCTCTAATATATATACCCGATTATGTTGAGTTTTCATTTAAAATAGGTGAGTTAATTGTATATTATTAGCTTATAATTAAAACAGTACAATCAAAAATGAAATACATTTAAAATTATTGTTAATTATTGTTAATGCCCTTCAAAAACTTTATTGGTTTTGAAAGCAAATAAAAGCAAAAATGCAGCCAAAACACCTATTTACAAATATAAATAAATATTAGTATCAATATTTATAATCTTAGAGGTAATATAAGTTGCAGTCAGTGAAGGAGTCCTTCCGGCCATACATTTGTTCTTGAACATCAACAGCCGAGTCGGTATACAACTAGTCCCTCAGTTTAAAAGTTATCTAATAAAACTTTGCAGTTCATTTTATATACACATATACTCTTATAATTATATGAGCCGGATCGAAGGACTATATCCTATAGCTACCATAGGAACGACCGTTATGTATGCCCACCTCTCTCTGTGTGTTTTTGTAGATCTCTTTCACTCTGACTCCTTCAGCCTCTTTCTAGAATAACCTCTTTCTCCCTGGTGCTCTCTCTCTCTCTCTCACTTTCTCTGCTCTTCTCTTTTCTCGGATAGTATAAATACAGGCACTAAGTCGCGCGCGCCTCAGTCTATCCTAGGGGTACCTAGTGATAACATCGATAGTGATAGTGATAAAAAAAAAAAAAAAAAAAAAAAAAAAAAAAAAAAAAAAAATCGATAGTGATAGTGATTGTGATTAGCCTTTCGACTTTACAAATATCACCTGACCAAGATCTTCAAACCCTTAATTGGTTTTACAATTATATTTACAAAATAAAATATTCCTTTGCATGTTTTTAAACCTTTTCAAAATGATTATAAAAATGTCTAAAGTTGTGTATTATGACCCCTTTTAATATAGATAAAATTCAGTTGTATTTAGAACAAAAAATAATAAAATCATTGGTGTACCTACTATACCCATCAATTGGCAGCAATCAAAATAATATAACCATATCGAATACTACCCACGATTTCTCATAGCCTCCCCAAACACGACTGCTGGTGCAGAAATCTGGGTTCAAATGCTATTGGGCACTCTGTTAGCCACATTTTATACTTGGCCAAGTCAAAAGGTCCATCCACCTGGCCATTCAACCATCCATCAGCGACCGCCACCCCAGCCAGCCCCAACCCCCCAAAGAGAGTCCATCTATCGTCCTTCAATCATGTTTGAGCCTTGTTCGAACGCCTGCTAACAGCTCGCCCACAAATTTCATTCAATTTGCAAAAACACAAAACCCGAAACTGAACCCAGAACCCAGAGCACAGAATGGGCTTCTTGTCCATAGATGGGGTGGGGTCAAATTGATGAACATGACCGAAGTTGGCCTGCTGCTCTTTGCTCCGAACAAAGAAAGAAAACCAAACATTTTCATGTTTTTACCGAGAGTCTTCAATCAAAATGCGTCGGCAAAGTTTTAATGCAAGCGCTACCTCGCTATTTTCTCTTAAAAATACAAAAAAGACCATCAACGCCAGGGAAAAACTATGCCGGAGGAAGTTTTTAAGTGACGAAATGAGGAGACAGGATGGCGAAGGGCAGGGGCGTGACAAGCTGGCTCCTGCCGCACGGTTTGATAAATGATGTGTCGAAAATAAATGATTATGCATCCCATGAAGGGGAAGGGAAGCCCCACAAAAGTTTTTTGTTTTATATTTTGCCACACTTCTCCCTTTTTTTGGGTATTTTTGCTATAATTCCATCTTATTTTAAGCCCGCAGAACATCCGCAAAAGTTGATGTAAGTTCATCTATTTGCATGCCTCATTTGCCATATTGATTTTTTTTGTTCCTTTTTCCTCTTACTTTTGTTTTGTTTCTCGATTTGGTTGAAACTCCAAAAGAGTGGCTAATGTACATTTGTTTCCATCAAATTCGGCTTAGGATTTACATTTACTTTATTGTGAAGAAAAATTCTCTTCCACTCCAAAAGAGTGGGGATATATATTAAGACTTGAATTATCCAAAATAACACTTTTCCTTTTCATGCAATGACTGTTTAAGGAAAGTTTACACTCGTTTTTGCCACGGCTATAGGATGTATATATCTATAATGTACAATATTCGGCTTGATTTACATTTACTTTATTGTGAATTTGGTGTGAAAAATTAGGCTTAAATGGAGTGAAATTCGTTGAACAGGAAGTTTGGCTAATAAATTTTGGTAGTGAAATCATTTGAGGGGGTCTCCAGGCTTGGATTAGAGATGTATATCGAGAGTCGGATATTATAAAAAAAAAATATATCTATTTAATATCAAAAATATTAATATCAAATCGAAGGTATTGTCAAATTTGATAAATATATTAAGACTTGAATTATCAAAATAACACTTTTCCTTTTATGCAATGACTGTTTAAGGAAAGTTTACGCTCTTTTTGCCACAGATTGATATATAAATATATATAAAATATATTTCCAATATATTGCATTTTTATTTAAATATTATTTATATATCAAATGGCGTTTCCTTGTGGTTATATCTATATTCTCTGCAATCCTTAACTCTGAATGAATTCGTAAATATTTTCCTATGAATATTCGATTCTAAGGTCACGATTTCATAGGGACTTCCTCCTTTTTACATTTTAATTTAATTACTTTAATTTCAATAATATTTTTCAACCTCTCTTAAAAAAAACAATCAAACTATATTTGTGTAAAGAGTTTTTACTGGACCGAGGGTCAACGCTATTAATAAGAAATTTGTAACACAGGTTAGATGTTCTCATCGCTTAATTTGTTCGCCTACTCAGCTGCTGTTCCTTGGTGACTTCTCCTTCGGTGGCCTGAATATTGGGCTTATCACCAGATCCTTCAGCGGCGGCCACAAGGGATGTCGACGAGGCCGAGGGACGCAGAACCACACTACTGTCACTGCTCTCGCTGCTCGAATCGCCGACATTCAGATCGCTGCTGGGCAAAGCCTCGGCGGGAGGTGGTGGCGGGCAGCTACCGGTACGGGCGGCACCAAATTGGGTTTCCCGATGCAGATGCGTTTCGACGGCGGCGGTGCAACATGACCCAATCGAGCGCTGGACAGTGTCGTCCCAGGAGGAACGGAATCGAAGGACATCAGTTCGCCGAAGTAAACGTGCTGAATCACAGGGAACTTAGACAGAATCTGTGACAAAAGCGTAAAGCTTAAAGAGGATAGTAGACCCTTCTAGGACCTCACCTCCTTCTGGTACATCTTTACCAGGCCCGCATTTATCTTCACCCACGATGGTACGTCCGTGATGCTCCACAGTTGGTTCGAGTGTTCGCCAAAGTGGCCAGTTTTCACCTTGCAGATGTAATCGATGCAGCTGATGAACATAACTGATCCTTGTAGTCGCTGATGATCATCTCGTCCACGAATTTCGACGGATCAAAGGGGCTGTTGACTATCACCAATAGCAAGAGATTAAAGTGAGAATTCAAGCATGGAATACTTACTTACCGCCAGCTGTGCACTGCCCCAGATGAAGGGCACAAACTGAAAGTCATCTAGCGCCCACACACCCTGGCTACCCGCTGGTTCCATGTTATAAGTGCGTTGCAGATGCCTGGCAAACACCAGATAGCGATTGAAGAGTCTCAGGGCAGCGCTAACGATGTCCTGCTCCTGCAGTATCTCTGCCTTAAACAGTGAGCACAGGAAGAAGAGAAAGGAGAGCTCATGCCCGGTGCCATAGTCAATTCTGTGGCATTGCCAAACGACTCCATCAAATACATTTCCAACTCGGTCTGATGCTTCTGCTTGGCAACGGGGAGCAGTTGATGCAGCCACTGCGGCAACTGTTCGCGCATCTCGCGTGCCCAGTCCCGGTAGGCCTTGTTCCCGAACCGCTGCGGCTGCTCCAACGGCGGATGCTGCTCCACCAGCTTCTCCAGCGATTCGAAGAGGCCCAGCAACTTGCGCAGCATCTCCGACTCGTACATCTCGTCCGTGGTCTTGATGCCCTGGATTGCCGAGCTGGTGCCATTGATAAAACCAATTAAATCGTGATAGGCGCGCGATCTCTGCCACTGGGTCAAGTCGAAAATGTTTTGCACCCTTTTCGCAGTCGCCGGTTGTTTACCTAAAATTATAAACAATTATAACGAAACGCTTTTTGGCTTAATTTTGATTTATTTTCGTTTGTTCAATATCGGCTTACCTGGCCCTACGGCATTGGCATCCGCCATGCTAGCACACTCTTTGTTTTTAGCGGTTATTAATGTATTTTTTACCCGGAATGGCTTTTTGTTTGTTTTTGTTTTATTTCGTTGCAACAGTGCAATGGGGATGACACTGCGCTGAATCCGATACTCACATCACTAAGTGTGACCATTATTAAAAGTAGCCAAAATTTAAATTTTTCTAGCCTTTTTAGCGGGAAAAAAGCGTAACTAACAGCACTACCGCCTACGCCGGCAAACAACAAAAGTGAAAAAGTCTTTAATCTGAATATAAAGAAAATTAGTGAATTTAACCATGATCGAAACACTGTATAATATACCCTTCCACATACTGGTACCGCCCAACATCAAAGTGCGCAAATTCAGCATTCCAATGCCATCTCCCATGGCCGTTTTCAGTGTGATTTTGCTCTCCTATTTTCTGGTGACTGGAGGTTAGTGATTTGTTTTCTACTAATTTAAGTTCCCAGAGATTAATCCCCAGTGTTTATTTTATCTACAGGCATTATCTACGATGTGATTGTGGAGCCACCAAGTGTGGGTGCCACTGTGGACGAGCATGGACACTCCCGTCCCGTGGCCTTTATGCCATATCGCGTGAATGGACAGTACATCATGGAAGGTCTGGCCAGCAGTTTCCTCTTCACCATCGGTGGCCTGGGCTTCATCATTATGGACCAAACCCATTCGCCAGGGAAAACGAATCTAAATCGCCTGCTGCTAACCGCCATGGGATTCATTTTTATCCTGGTTTCCTTCTTCACCACCTGGCTGTTTATGCGCATGAAGCTGCCCAGCTATCTGCAGCCATAGGAATCTCTTCTAGAAACGGAATGTCTCTCTAAGTATTCTCTGTTTTGTGTATTTTGTCTACAGTTGAAAGTCTCTACCTCGAATTTCTTTTATAAAACATTCCAGTTTTGAAGAGATTTCGATATTGATCAAATATTTAAGTTTAAAGTATATTTCGAGAGTTATATTTCCAAATCCCTCGAATGAATAAAATATCTATTAGATTGTATAACTTCTTGTCATAATAGTAGACATTTCTGTGTTTAAAGAAAACTTAAGAAAGCAAACACATTAAAACAGCTTGTATTCATAAGCACACTTTCATTATTAAGTTGAATCGTTTTTCATTGAATTTATCATTTTATTTGAGCTACTATTTGTTAAACTTTCATTTTGTGAAGTTTTACTGTATTCCCTCAAGTGTCGCCTATAGAAATTTTATGCTAAACAAACATTTTTGGCGTCCCATGTCTCTCAGTTCGTGTTGTGCTTTCGGATCGGTTGGCTCGCTCGTTTTATTCCGGAGAAAGCAAAGCTGTTATCCATCGCCTATATAATTTTAGAATCTATTTTTGTTTATCAATATAAAGTACATAATTATATGTAGTGGCACACTAAGAACCGAGAAAGTAAAAAATAGTTACCCAGAAAGTTGACAGAGTCGTGCAGGAGCTGAGTAAATATCAGTCTTCTGATATCCAAGTGATGTAACCACGAGGATTCGCTCTCCTGCTCATTGGACATCGGTTTCTGCGTCGCATTTTGTTTACTTTCTGAGAGAAAACCAAAACAGAGACATGTCTAAGAAGTGCACTGTGCGATCGCTGAGCGACAGCGCCCTGGCAGAGCTGGCCAACTTGTTGGTGTCCACCATCAGCTATGTGCAGTATGCTCCGGATGTCCATCTGGACATCAACATTGTGATGGTGGAGCTTAATGAGTATCTGACCCAGCTGGGAGCCACCCCCAATATTTATCAGGATCTGTTAAGGGTGATCCTCAGTTCGGATTACCTAGAGGCCAATATGAGATTCACCTGTCTCCAAATGCTGCTCAACTGCGGGGTAACCTTTCTGGTCACAGAAGTGTTTCCCTTCAGCTACTACGAGAAGATTCTGCAGGTAATTTTTGACCAGGATAACCTCCTAAGTTCCCTCTCATAAACCGTATCCCTCTTGTGATTTCTCTTTAGGTGATTGCAGCTCAAGGAGCTGGACTGCGAGTGCTGAATATCAAAGGAATCTGGGTAAAGGAGGAGCATATGCACTACATGTACGAAATAGTGCGAAGATGCAAGCAACTGGTGAAGCTATATGTGCCCTATATTGCCAATGATCGTCTGCTGGAGGAGATTGGAAAGTGCTGCACGAGGCTGCAGATCTTGGACATTTCCGGTGAAACAGACATCACGGAAATCGGCATTGATGCTTTAGCCAAAGGAGTCTGTGGCCCATCCTTAACAGTTGTGGATGTGGGCATGCCCGGGGAGGAGAATATTTGCTATTCCGATATAGCCCTGATCCTGGAACACTGTCCACATGTGGAGACTCTGTCCACGTACTCTTTCGTGGGAGCCGCCTTAAAATTCATTTATGATAATGTTGATGATCGCTTCAAGTGCCGGTTGAAATATATCCACGATACAGGCACGGATGAGGCAACCCTCCAGGTGATCATGCAGACATGTCCACGACTGGAGACTCTCTATCTTGATTCCCCCAAAACGGGATGCCTCAGGCTCTGCATACCCGTTCCCTAAGAAAATTAAAAATCTACAAGTTCGTGGTGGCTGAGTTACTTCCTCTACTGGAGCGACCCATTGGACAAAATCTGCGACATCTCACGATGATCAAGGGGTCGGGAAATCTCGAACTGGGAAAGCTGGCTCGTCTGTGCCCTCTTTGATCGATCTTGACTGCTATATGATCGATAGTCTGTCATATGTACAAGCTAATGTTAAATTTCATCAGCTTGAGGGATTGGAGATCTTAAGTAGCACCATCATGACGAGCTCCTTGAAGGCCTTCCTCTGCCATTCCACAGATCTGAAGCGACTGGCTGTGGACACGGTGATCTTACAGATGAGGATATAGTGAGGTATTGGTACTATATTTATACGAAATATAAAATATCATCTTTCTCTTTCCTCCAGCATATTTATGCAGCATGACTTTAAGTTATTGGAGGATATTTGGTTCACTCTTGCTCCAGAACTGACTGTGACCTCAGTGGAGGTAAGAATTAACCTTATAATAAAGTATTTATAATAAAATTTAATATTTTGCAGTTACTAATGGACTGCTGCCCGGAACTGCAGTCTGTGGGCCAATTAACCGGATGGTCCTTGACGCCCGATGATCTGGCGCTGATTCGAGGACTCTTAAAGAGCGGCAATTCGAGCATTGTACTGACACCAAACGGTTTTCTAGCTTGAGTATTATTAAGACTTGTTATTCTAATGTTTTTGTTTAAACTAATCCTTTAACATTAGTTTTTTTTTTTTTGACTTCCCTCTATTGAAAAGTTTATTTTCTAATTCCAGCGCCTACAATAGCCCTAATGCTGCTGCCTTACTCCCAGCAAGGGGATCAAACGTTTTTGTAAACAATTCAAGTGTTGTGTATTTGCTTGTGATATTATTAAAATAAAGTTGTTTAAATTTAAATACAAATTTCAAATTCAAACGAGTTCAGTGTGACCATCTACACCAAACAAGTACTACCAACTGGGTATTTCTCCGCCACAAGTTGGCATCCCCGCACAGCTGTGGCCGTGGGTTGCCATGGTGCCGACAATTGCCGACATTTAATATACACACATTTTATTCACTGAAAACCAGCAAACGGACAGAAAATAAACAAAGTGCCACAGAAAGATAACAATTCCCTGCACATTGGTGGCACTTTCACGTGGAATCAGCCGTGTGTTTGGAGCGGCGTCTGGCACCACCTACACCTAGCAACCCTGGCAGCGACGTATACCTTTTATGCGCATAAAAAAGTGAAGAATCGGTCGGAGCGGAGACGAAACGCCTGAATTTACACATGAATCTCATATTGAAGTAACCCAAAAATAGCATTTAACCGTGCAGACACTCCAGATCCATCGAAAGCGCGACGTGGCAGTGAATTTCGTTAACTATGCGAGCGCACAAAAGTAAAAAGAAACTTCCGCAGACGTCAGCAAGTACCGTTTGCCAGGCCCAGTAAAGGAAGTAATAAGTAAATAAAAGAGCTCTGTGCCACCGAGCCCTGGATATAAAGTAAAATTATAAAAGGCAAAAGCGCGAAGTGACCAATTAATTTGAGAGCGGCAATTGTGGGCGGCAGCGAGTGCCGTTGTCATGCATTTTGTTACACAGCAGCGGGCACAGCAGCAGAACCAGCACCACCAGCAGAAGTCCACATCCTCGTCGAGCTCCTCGCTGGCCTCCTCCTCCTCCTGCTCCGGATCGGGTTCGGGATCAGGATCAGGATCAGGATCGGGTACTGGTACAGGTCTTGGATCGCGCCTGGTCACCTTGCGCAAGTCCTCCAGCCAGGGTGCACTGCCCAAGTCCTTGGCCACCGCCCAGAGCCTGTTCCATCGTCCTTCGCACAGCAAGCACAAACGCACTGCCAGCTTAAATGCGGCGCCCATGTAAGTTGCCACTCCCCCATACAATCCATTAAATTAATACAAAAATTATATATAATATATACCGAAGTTTTGCACAGAATAAAAAATAGATCGAGGGAAATTTGGATTACTTTTGAAAAGAACAAATTTTAATTAAATGAAAATGTAACGCATATTTTGAGAAGGCTTTTTAAACTATTAAATGAATAATACAAAATAGTAATACCTTTAATTGAATATATTTATTTTAAAGAAGTTAAACTATATTTTATTTTAAAGACATTTGATGCTATATATGATTGAAAAGTTATTTAAATCTGTTTATCTTCTATGTATATAATTGAAATTTGTAAGGTCATAAACATTATTAAAATACATATTAAGTTTAGATGGTGTTAATTTCCATGAAAATAATCCACAATTAACACAACCATTTGAAATAGATCTCAAACATAATGAATATATCCTTGATCTTATTTTTTAGTTCTGTGCAAAATTGAAACCTAAGAGTTATGCGTGTTAATTTGTGGTGTAGGTTTGCCCGCTGGTTTGCATGTTTAACCCATTAATGCTGGTCATATTGCATGTCGTTTATAACTACATATATAATAGAAATATATATGACCCTCTTTATTCCTTTCAGTTTTTGGCTTATCTACCTGTTTACCCCATCCCCCAGTAGCTCTCCCACACGTTGCCACCGGAGTGATAGTACACAAGGTGTCTGCCCCAATCTAATTGCCCCACACTCCTCCTACCACTTGCATTTTAATATCCAGCTTTTGGAAGCTCCTCTTGTGTTGCGCAACAGTTGTTGCCTTGCCCCTGCGTTTCGCACTTTCTGAGAGACAGAAGGACAGGTACAGGGCGTTTCAGCAGTGTAAGGCTATCGATTTTGTGGGTGAACTATAGTACATTTCTTGGGTAAAGTAAGTCAAATGCGACTTACTTACTTATCACAACTGCTTATCAGTTTATTTATTCAATGAAAGGGATCGTTAGTCCAATGAATAGATAACAAATTAATGAGAACAATTCTCATTCAAATATTCAATGGAAAATTTAGCTTTCTAAATAGTTTGTCGACCTTTGGGGGTATTGAAATAAATAAACAACGCACAGACTATTTATACATTTCCCAAACTTCATTCAGATAGTTCTAATAAATATGCATAAATAGTGGAAAAGTTACGGAATACATTAAGTAACTTATTTCATTCATAAATGTATTCCAGGTTCACAAGTTTAACAACTTGTGTTCAGGCTTAGCTAGTTGTAGTAAAAATTAATTGCTGTTAAAACACTTTTAAATTAATCAAAGTTTGTGTAGTAATTATATGGTGGCTCTTTAATTGAAGATAAATAATTGAGCAAGGATTATTTACAAAGACTTTTTATACTTTCGCTCACTCACTGTATTTATATATATATATGTTTTTTTTGATTTTTGTGCACTGAAGCGTTTTCCACGTAACCAACAAATGTATAATTTGGCTTAGCCTTGGCGCTGGCGTTTTGTATTTGGAATTCCCTCCTACAAAGGTGTCTCAACCGATACGGTTATCCACATTTTTGGATATGTATGTTCACCAGACTGCGAAGAATTTCAGCCTAGTGTATGCAAAAGTTCGACCAGTGGGTTTGTCCCCTATCATCTCTCCGTCGGACTGAGTTTTCCAACCCCACCAAGTAAAGCAGAACCGAAACCCAACCAAAGGGGGATTGTGCGGCCATTCTCTCGGCGTTTGCTCTCGAGTGCAAATCGGAACGTCGAGCTGGGATGACGTGCCCGGCACGAGCTCCCGCTTTGCAAATTCTCTAGTTTCTAGACTCAGTTCCCTCGGTTCTCGGTTCTTGGTTCCAAGTTCTCAATTCTCGGTGCTCGTGCCTCAATTCGCATTTTTACACCATCGCGTGCCTTAGAAAACAAAAGCAAACAAACAAATGACAATCAACAGAATGAACAAAACGGCAAAAAAAAGAGAAGAACCTGCAAACACTAAAAACAGGGAAAATTAATTAAATAATTAACAGCAAAACAGCCATCGTGCCATCGTGTGGGATAGTTCATAAATTAATGACATTTCACCGAGCTGTGCTAAAAATACGAATTATATATTTTGCCGTGTTTACGTTTCGTCATCAATTCTGGTCTTTGCCAGACTTTTGGCCACATTTGTGTGTATGTTTTTTCGCCGATGACATAGATTTTTGGCCCAACAATAAAACAAACAAAAAAAAAAAACAGCGAAACCAATGCCGAAGGAGGAAGTAAAAAAGCCGCCGAGGAAAACGATAATCGTGGAACCAAAGAAGCCCAAGCGAAAGAAAATGTAATACATTTTCCACTCTTCAATCTATTGATTTTTCTTCTAGTTTAAGTGCTCGGGAGGGTTTCTTTTATGGCTAAAACAATATAGTAGAAAATAGTACCAAACTCTAGGTGTTGTGGCTAATTGAAGTTGGTAATTTGTGCAGCCAAATGTCGTAGTTAGTTTTCTTTATGGCCAGTGGCCCATTCATGTCGGAAATGCATTCAGTCATTCGACAGCCGGCTTCCATTTTCCAAAAAGGCCAAAGTTCAATAGGGGGTCGGGTCTGACCCCACTGAACATATCTATTATTCTAGCCACAAGTCGGTGCAATTTCATTCGTAATTGCTCGCTCTCTCTCTCTGTGGTTCTGTAGAAATAATTGTATATATCACTAATTGCGTGACATTAGAAAAATGCTTTATTTTCCCCAGAGATAATAATTTTCCCCTGACAAATACGCAAAAATTTTGCATCAGAAATTCTTAGTCATAGATAATAAACCAGAAATGCAGTTACATTTATTTATTGCTCAGTGAAAGTATTCACAAGAAATGTGTGACGTAGCATCATCTTAAAGATTCAACCGAATAATATCTTGTTTATTGTTTATTTGTTTTTATTTGTGCAAACTATAAATAATGGGTATTCGCTAGAAGCTCATAAATAATTTATCCTCCCCCAAATAAATTCCTTGAAGGTTATCTTTTAAAAACAAATAAAATGTCTATAAATAACATTGATCTTTTGCAAATAGCACGCGGTTTTTATCTCGGATCTCTCTGTCATATTTCTGGGAATTTGTTTCTCCACTTTAATTAAGGGTTTGTTCTCTAGACATTATCCCAATACTGTTATCGCAAATTGTGCCCTGGGGTCTTTTGAAACTATATATGTATATCGTTCAAAATGTACACAAACAAATCAAAATATGTTGGCTTCATTATCGCCACTCACTTATATAATTGCTATATGTTGTTAATCTCTTAATGTTTTAAAACAAACAAGCTTAATTCATACATTAACTCTTTAATGTTTTGAATAACCAAGAAGGGGATTAGCTTTGTATATACTTTGCTATTTGCTGTCTTATCTGAGCTGGCTTTGACAACCCTTGAACCTCAGAGAGAGAGAGACATTACTTCTATATAAACACATTATAGCCCCCAGTGTAGATTATCTCTGATCTTTCACACATTCGCAATTATAAATACGTACACTTCACTTAATGTGGGGGGGCATCGTAATCGTCACTTAATGTTTTTTTACTCCACTCCATTTTTTTAGTATTTACTCAATTGGCAATGTTTTTCATCTCAACAAAGTATATTTCATGTTACATGAACTTGAACCCCGGCTAGTGATAAGAATGTTTGAGTGGATTTTCATAGTCGTTTTTGTATTAAACTCACTTGGACTTCACTTCTGCAAAAGCTAGAGAAGACCTTGATGTAAAATTCTTTAGATAAGATTAATTATCTTTATGGCGAGTATTAAAGTTCGCTACAAAATTACAACTCCGCTTGAGACGTACTCCTGCACTTAAAGAACTTAAAAAATCATTAAAGCTAAATGTTTGTCACAAAGTAATTTGCATATGTAACCTTATATATATTTATTGCTTTTGGGTGCAGTCGCCCTTTAACAAACATATTAAAAAACACTTGTAAATTTGACTTAAAAATACCTAATAATTGTTGTAATTGTTATGAGCGTCTCAGTTCCGATTGTGAAAGTGGGTTAATTCCCTCTAGCCATTATTGGTTTGAACAAATACACACGAAAGCTGATTTTGCCTCAGCCATTTAAACGCTTTATCAAGAGCTAAGCCCTGGAAGTATCTTATCGCCTCTTATCAGTGCCAAACAGTGTGTGTATATATATTCATATATTAAAAATAATAACAATTGTGTGTCACAACACACACACGCCCACACGGAATGGGAATGGGAGAGTATAGTGCACAATAGAATTGATTACAATCGTTTAATGGCAATTGGTACACCATTCCGTCGCAGCCCACGGAGGCAAGAGCACGTCTAATTGAAAATAATATTATATACTCTATAACACTGACTCTACGAGGCGCGTACAAAATGTTGCGGCGAACATTGCGAAAAAGTCGAAAACACCGGGTCCTCTGGTATGCTTTTGAGAAGTATCTATCTATCTCTAGTCTGTGTACAGAGTGCTATCAATGTTTTCGGGAACAATTAAAGGAAATTACTTTAAAGTTAAGACTGCTTTAAGTCATCTTAACAATTGCCAATTCACAATTATCGATAGGAATTCGTATTAGCCATATGGTGGAGAGCATCCTTATCACCATCGATTACTAATTCGGTTTATTGTGGTTCTACGAAATCATTAATGACTCTTTGTGAAGATCCAACAATGTCAATGAACTCAAAATAATGATTTGCGTAATCGAGATTAAATCACACCAAAAGTGTAGCAAGAATTCTCTTTGCCTCAAGTATTACTTTCTTTGTTTATTTTAAATATTTTATAATGAGATATAAATCATTAAAAAGGAGATTATCGTGTCATGTCGCCTTTGTCAAAGTGTAACTCCTTGTCACCTCCTTATATGACTACTAAAATTACTTTAAAGATGCATAATCATTATTTCCTTAATTTCTCTGGTTGTGTCTTTGTTTAAGCAAATAAAAAAATTAACCATTATCAGGCTTAAATAATTAATTATAAAGTCGATTAAAAAATTTGCTCAGCTCAAGTGGTACCACCTGTGGTCGTGGCCTTATCTGATTTACTTGGAACTAATTTCTTTAATGAATGGCAATCTTGCAACTAAGGGTGTCTTGATCTAAGAAGATATAATAGGAAATTGTACGGACATAATAATAATATTATAAGGTGTTAGGTGATTAATAAAGAACAACACTTGGAATATAAAGTTTCGTTAGGATCAGGTTACATATTATCAAAATATGAGAAAGATTATTAATTAGAATGTAAAAATATCGAAAGGAAAATAGTATGCTTTATATACTTTAAAATTCAATTTTGGATTATAAAAAAAGTTTCAAAGTTACATTTTCAAATAACATCCCACATCTATTAGTCTTTCCTTCCGATAATTTTGATTTGATAAATCAAAGGATTAATTTATAGACATTCATCTTAAATATCGATAAAGTGTCGATATTTTCTGTCCTACCTGATTAAAGCCTAAAAATTAAAAGTATTTTGTTTTGTTGTGGCTGAGTTGGTGTAATGTAAATTGTCATTTTAATGGGTTATTACTTAAGTTCCTTGTTGCTCAAATTATATCCCCTGATTTATTTAGAATATATCTGTATGTAAAGATATATGTATCTTAGATCCCCCAATTGTTTCTTTTCGTCCTTTTTTGGGCATGTCCTTTTCATTTGGCATTTGTTCTTTTGATTTGTTTATATATATGCATTTTATTGTAGGATTAAAGATATTGATATAAACAACCCAACAACATCAAGTGTAACCATAACCACTGCAACTGCCGATAAACCGAGCAGTAGCAAGACCCCTGCCAATGCCAACATGATACCCGAGACCACCCAGCCCGATCAGCTCCAGTCACAGTCAGCATCACTGTCACCGTCACCGACCCAATCACAGTCACAGTCACAGAGCCAACCGGTCCAGGATTCCCCAGAGCCGAATCCTTCCCAGCAGCAGCAACAGCAGCAGCAGCAGGAGGAGGAGGAACTGACAGATGCCAGATCCGCTGAAAGGACAACGACTGCTGGTAGCAATGGTGGCGACAGGTAGGTGTGGGATCAATGCTCCGGAAACTCTCCAGCCAGGCCTTGGTCCAATTCCGTAAGAGAATACATCAGTACCTTCCAAAATTTGCATGCCTAGTTCAAGAGTTTTTCCCCCATTTAATCTCCAAGTAGATGTAGTCGGTGGGTTCTATTGATCTCATAACTAATTATTTTTCCCATTGCCATTACAGGCGCGATTCCATCACCGAAGAGATTACGATTACAAGCACCACAAACGGCACACTGAGCACCAAACTTCTAACCATACAGGAAGCTACCGGTAGCTTAGAGAACAACAGCAGCGTCTCCATATCGTTGTCCTCCAAACAGAACGCTTCCACAGTTCCAGCCACAGCCGGTGGATCTCCTCCTCGTGCCGCTAGTCTCTCCACGCAGCGAAATGAATCCTCGGGCAGCAACCATAGCTTAACCCAGGCCACCTCTTCCACTAGTCCTCCCACTTCCAGTACAGCTGCCCAGGGAGTCACGCCCAGCATTAATATAGTGGGCAGCGAATCGAGTCGAGATCAGAAGGAACAGAGCATCGATTCCAACGGATTTACCGCCCCCGGTGGCTCCTGCACGGACAGTCCCAGCAGCCGGAAGAGTTCCACCAGCTCCAAGGGCAAGGGCGCCAGTCAAGCGAAGTTATCCACATCCAGCAACGGACGCGACGAGGTGAGTTATTCATGAAGCAAGAGATATATTTCCAGGATTTCCACGAATGAATTGAATTCATTCATTCGTTGAAGAGTTTGAAATTTATAATAATCTCATAGATTAGAATATAGATAACAGACCCATAAATGACTCATAGCTAAGGGCAGTCTCTAGTGGTACTCATAAAATTGAACGTTTTTACAAAGCTTTGACCAAACTATTTTGCCATATGCACCTGAGTAATGAGTCATTATTTATGACAACTTTTCTGTGAGGTAAATGAACGGACATGACATTGTATGCCAACTTCAGGGGGTTGAAACACCATGCCATTTTTTGAACTAAAACAATACTTTATTACTTTATCTAAAAATACACAGTACAGAACGCTCAAAGTCTGCTTTTCGAGAGGTTTATGGTTTTAGCAGAAAGTTTATTAAATGTGAGCATGATAATTCAAAAGGTTTACTAATTGGAAACGAGAAATAAGCCTGGGCATATTGCATCATTGCCAAAACGTGTTTACTATAATAAAACATTATATTCAATGACTTGAATTATATTCTTTCAAGGTTTTATAATATTGATTATAGCCTAAAGCCAACTGCGACGCCTTAACATTTATTTATTATTTAATATTCAAATGTCTAGGGTTTTCCTTCAAAAACTTCCCAAAACTGCCTTTCCCATATACATATATTTAATTTTTAATGTTAAGGGCTTGTCACCAAACCCACAACTATTTCCGTATTTATTTGAATATTCGTAGAAAAGCTTGACACAAGCTTTCATAACTTGCACACTAGGTGGATTCAAATCATTAGCACCACACACGCACACCCCAAAAAAAAGGTGTGAAATTGCCGCAGCTAAGTGCTCAAATTAAATTAAACTACACTCGAGGGAGAGCGATCAATCGATCAGTGATAGCTCGAATGGTGAACAAAACCAGGATGAACCGATAGATAGATAGACAGACACGGGGTATCGAGATTAATAACCACACATTGGCCATCCAACAGCTCAATCTAATCACTTGGTGATAAGGAGCATATGTGTATATGTATTGTTTACATTCTCTCACACCTGGCGGCAGCTGATTAGGATCACCCTTCAATGCAAAAGCTCGCTACATAAACGTTTGGGTTGGGGCTCCAAGCTTTTTTTTTCTACCACCCCATTGATAAGGCTCCGTTTTGAGAGTGTTGTGTGTGTGTTGAGCTCCCATTGACGTTGGCCCCGCTCGGCTGGCAATAGCAAATTAGAATTCAACAAGCGACGAAGCGTCTCAGCGAAAGCCAAAAAAAAAATAATAACAAAAAATAATAACGATCGTTTGCTGCAGCGCGAAACTTTGTGTAAATAATTGGGGGTCGTAAACGAACAACAAGCGTGTGGTGTGTGATAAGAAATAAAACCAAACACCTGGCCGAAGAGTAGTTTCCTGGGAACAGTTGGTGAATCACCCACAAAAAAGAAAAAAAAATGAAAAAAGAGTTAACAAGCTCAGCGAACAGGTGGCCAAAAAACCGAAAAGATATCAGAACTTGGTGGTGCCATTAAATTAGACCTAAAATGTTCACGCCGTCACAGTTCACCATATAAATGGAAATCCTCATGGTGTTTGATCAGCTCTCCCTCTCGCTTGTCTCCCAGCAGGACACCACCCAGCACCGTCTGAGCGATCTGACACCGCACGAACTGAGTCTGCTGCGCGTCGATAGGGAGCAGCAGGTGACCAGCAGCAGTTCCACATCCAACGAGAAGCCAGCCAAGCCCTCGCGTCTATCGGAGCGGGCCAAAAAGAAGTCCTGGTACAACGTCATCTATCCCAATTATAAATCCCGGGCCGAGGATTTCAAGAAGCTCTTCAAGGACGTGCCCAACGATGAGCGTCTGATTGTGGGTGAGTTGGAATAGTTTCCACCAAACAGCTCGTAATGGTTACGTATTAGTCACGTTCAGTTTGAAAAAGATCCCTGCATAGATAGAACCATATTTAAAATGTTGTAAAAACTTGCGATAACTATTCTTAAAGATCAAAATTCATCACGTAACAAATCAAATAAGAATTCGCACATTTAATGATCAGATTTTTAATGAGCTATTCATTCAAAATGGGGCCGAAATTGACAGTAATAAAACATAAAAGCAATATGAAAGTACTATTATTTTTTAATTAAAATTCAATGTGCGTACAATTATGAAATAATTGCAATACAAATTTTTAATAAATGTTAACATCTTTCACAGATTACTCGTGTGCCCTGCAGCGTGACATCCTGGTTCAGGGTCGTCTGTACGTTTCACAGAACTACGTTTGCTTCCATGCCAACATCTTCAGCTGGGAGACCTACGTGAGCATCAAGTGGAAGGATGTGACGGCCATTACCAAGGAGAAGACAGCCTTGGTCATACCCAATGCCATTTCAATAGCCAGCGGCAAGGATAAATACTTCTTTGCCACATTTACCTCACGTGACAAGAGTTTCTTGATGCTCTTTCGCGTCTGGCAGAACACGCTGATGAACAAGCAGTTCTCGCCGCAGGAGATTTGGAAATATGTGCACAACTGTTACGGCGAGGAGCTGGGCCTGACCACCGACGACGAGGACTACATCGATCCCACGCTGGATAACGACAACGAGACGGATTTCGACTTCCAGACGGCCATCGATGACGATAGCCAGTCGCAGCGCCAGTCGCAGCAGTCAAATCAGTCCAATCAGTCGAATCCCCAGCTGCCACAGAGCGGCAACAGTAGCGCCAGCAGCGGCGGTGGAGCCGTCAGAGCCAGTGCTCCGCGAAAGTCCAAGACGAAATACTTCTTCAACTCCTCCAAATCCTCGGCCAACGCCTCGGCCAGCGGTTCCGATAACAACAAGACCAGGGAAAGCTCACGCAAGCTGAATAAGAAGATGAAGCAAAACGCCAAGGAGCTGACTCTCAGCTCCGTCAAGCCCGCTGAGCAGTCGGTGAGCGTCACCATGGCACCGGTGACCAGTGCCAGTAGCAGCAGCACTGCCGGCTCCACCACAGCCTCCACCACCACCATCGCCAACCACACCGCGGGCTCTGGCTCTGGATCGGTTTCGGGATCGGGCACAGCTGCTGCCAGCAGCAGTGGTAGCGATAAGAAGAGTGCGGAGAAAAAGGTCAGCACGAGCTCAAACTCATCCGCAATAGCAGCTGCTACAGCCGCAACATCCGCTGCCACATCCGTTTCCGGCGCCACGGCAATGGAATCGAAGCTGGAATCAAAACGTAAGCCAAGTAAAAAAGGTGGCAAAAATATTGACGAGACTGTTCCCACGGATGTCTCTGATTCGTCCGACTCTGAGGAGAATAATGTGCCGTAAGTTTGTTACATTTTCCTCTTAAAATGTAATAATAATTATATCATTAATTTTCAGATTTGTGCCCAGCACAGAGTGCACCTCGACGCACGAAGGCCGCCAGATCGTCCACACCATTCTGCCCATTAGCGTGGACACACTGTTCAATTTGCTATTTAGCAAGTCCAAATTTATCACTGACTTCCATGCCATGCGCAAGTCAACGGACCTCATCATGGGCGAATGGTCCAAGAACGACGAGGGTCTCAATGTGCGCACAGTGAACGTCACAGTTCAATTGGCCGCCTCTGTGGGACCCAAGACCTCAAAGGTGAGTGCAGCAAGCTGAAAATAGACTAGAATAAATAAACTGATTGCAAACTGCATATATTGATTCCCCTCTTCTCCTGTTTAGGTGACCGAATATCAAACAATGCGGGAGTGTAGCAAGCCGGGCGAACTGTATTCCATAGACGTAAATAGTGTTAATGCAGGCATTCCATATGCGGACAGTTTCAGTGTGCTCATACACTTCTGCCTGGCCAGGTTAGTCATCCATCGGGCACTCTTTCAATGAGTTTATCATCTTTAATATGCCTTAATCTTTTTACTTTGCCACAGAACTGTTGATGATCACACGATGCTATCGATTCACACTCAGATCAAGTACAAGAAATCAATTTGGGGCGTCGTCAAGGGTTTCATCGAGAAGAACACGTGGGCAGGTCTGGAGGACTTCTTCGGTGCCCAATTGCATGCACTCCAGAGCGAGACTTGCATTCCGCCTGCCAAGGGCAAGGGACGTAGGCCGCGAAGAGGTAAGCAGATTGATTTAATTAATAACTACAGTGCAACAACCACAACAACAAGAACAACAACAAAAACATCAAACAATAGCAAAAAATTTATCTTTAAACTTTTTACTGTAATGAAATTAATTCAATTCAATCAGTATCCGAATTCGATTAACACTGCCAAAAGCCAATTGCCAATTGCTTCTTCTAACCTAACACAAAAACGCACGCATGACAACCACCACAACTTAACATCAACATCAACATCATGTTAACAACATCAACAACAACAACAACCAAAAGCCACAACAAGCTACAACAACCAACATACATCACAGGCATAAACCAACAATCGGCAACATCATCAGCAAAAACAACGGCAACCAGTACGGACAATGACAGCATCAAAGAGGCCCCACATAAACCCCATGAGATGACGCCGCATCCCGCTCAGCATCAGCACCTGCACATGCATCATCATCATCATCATCACAGCGCCAGCCAGTCGAGTCATCAGCAGCACAGAGAAAATGAGCACAGGCACTCGCACCATCATCATCATCATCAGCATCAGCATCAGCATCAGCTTAACCATCATCAGCATCCCCATTGGCATCATCGTAAGGCTATCTTTCAGTCGAGCAGCAGAGGTACAGCTTGAATTATTTTGGGGTTGGAGAAAGAATATTACTTATTTTGCGTTATTTAAAGTTTGTAGATAATCATTTTAAAACTCTCTTTAAAGGAAGTGTTTTTTTTTAAACTCATTTTAAGACTTATTTATCTGTGGTTTTTAAGAAACGGAGTTGTAAATGCTGGCAGCTTATCAGTTAATTACTTAGGGTAGCAGATTATTTTGTTTCTTATCTAACACGCGAATGCAGACAACAAATTTTGACAGGTGTTAAAAAATACAAAGGCCAAACTAATGAGGGTCTCAAGAAAAAGAATTATTTATATAGGGTTTTCATTGGGTAATTAATATAAAAGAAAATGTAGAAAGGGTTTACTTCTTAATAATGATACGTAAAGTTTAAAGTTTAAAAAGAATAATACATATTTAAAAGATACACATATAAAAAATGATGTAAGAATAGAGTCATTCAGATTTATGACACAGTAAATTCTAGCAAAGATAAAGATTAATTACTCATAAATTGTATAACAAAATGTTACCGATCATAAACCATGGAACTTGACCTTATTTTGGAATGACTACTTTTTCTATTTAATCGAAACTATTTTTCCCAACTGTAATGCTTACTTTTCCTTGCCTTTATCAAATCCTCGATAAGAATTTGCCTCATTTTCTTCAAACTTGGTGTCACAACTTTTGTGTCAACTTGCTAGCCGGACCACATGAACATCGACCAATAGCTTGCTTTTTATTACAACCTGATTTATTTGGTAGTTAATCGATCTTTTGTTGTACTCTTAATGTTGTGATTTTGTTGCCCAGCACCGCAGACACACACTGCTTATGATCAGTTTTGAATTTTTCGTTTGAATGATTTTTGTTTCTAACCGTTGCCATTTGCCATTCCTCTCGACGCCATGCTCGTCCCCGTTTCTCCACAGGTACCGCCACACAAATCCGACCCCTGGAGGAGGCAAGCGGCACGACCCAAGCCGGCAGCATGGCTGGCCATTCCGGTGGCGACTCCCTGGAGACCCAATTGCTCTCGGCGGGAGGTGTCCCTGGGGCGGCAGTCGGCGCCGCCTCCAGTCATCCGCTGCTGCTCGAAGGCGGCAAGCTGCAGCAGCAGCAGTTGCACCATCATCACCATCACCTGCAGCATCAACAGCAGCAGCAACATCACCACCAACAGCAGCAGCAGTTGCATTTGGGAGGCGGCGCCGGCGATGGCCAGCAGCTGGCGATGGGTCCAGGCCCTAAGCACGGACACAGCAGACTCAAACACAAGGGCTTGTCGTTGTTGGTTATACTGTTGCTGTGCTTGATGCTGGCATTAAATGTGATATTATTACTTAAGCTCTGGAAGCTGGAGGAACGGATTGATGTGGATCTCAGTCGGCGGGCGAGATTGCCCAGTTTGGCGGCCTTAAAGTGAGTTATAACAGATTTCTTTGTCTATCTAAATCTAATAAATAATATTTGGCTTTTACAGGGAACTACCAAACACGAATCAGGAATGGTTGGAGCTGCTGCGCGACCAGGAGATGGCGCACGAGGATGAGTTGCACAAGTGGCAACAGGTGCTGCAGACGGCCATCGATCTGCTGAAAAAGGTGAGCATTGTCTGCCAACGAATCTACAACGATGACAATCTGCGTCAGAGCATTGAGTCAATGTCGATGGCAACGGCGGCAACGCACACTGAATTCTAAGCATCTCATTTTCACGGTGAAATAACGAAGATCCCAGAGTCAGGAAAAAAAAACCAACAACAAACCAGAAAGCAACAACTAATTGTAACTTTAACACTCACAAAAACACAACACATACACATGTATACAAGAAAAGTGCGTTTCATAATGCGAAGGAAAGGTGGAACAGAGATTTAATAGCAACTTTTTACTTTAAATTATTTAAAATCCAATATCTTTTTTATTTATTTATATAGAGATTACTAAACTAGCGGAAGAAAATCATAATTTATTAGATAATTTAATAAATAAACAAAACAATTTCTTAAGTTAAACAAAAGTAAAATAAGTTTTCTAAAGTAATTTAGTTTTTGAAATCATAGAATGTCTTGAAAAGGAGGGTTAGCATTCTGAAACGCACTGTCTTAGCGGGCATTTGTTACTGATCTCTCTTAGTTAGCAAAAACACAAAACCCCAAAAACAAAACAAAAATTGTTGCATGTTCTTCTGCTTGGTTTTACCCTCGGCACAGTGACTAAAGTGATAAATGTTGTTAAGATCGTGAAACAAAAAGGAAAGAAACCCAGCTTTAATCATTGATTTTCAACGACCAGAGAGCGAGATAAAAAGAGAGCAACTCCTTAGAATAAGTCTTGTATTCCGTAGAGCAAACTTGAGGCCAACAAAATTTTGTGAAATAAATTTATTAATCACTTTGATTTGTTTCAAAAAAAAAACTAAATGCAAAAGTTCAGAGCGAGGAACAAACACAAGCTAAGTAAATTCCTGCGGAAACATAAACTCGAACTCCCATTGTAGAAATGTAATTTTTGTAACTTTAATTTTTGTAACTTTTCTGTGTGAAAACTACTCATTCTCGCACTCAACTAACTATTTTTATGTTTTACTAATGTGTTTAAAACCTTTTCTGTGTGAAGAACTTTGTTTCTTTTGCTTTTAATCCGTTTTACTCAAATATTTTGTTTGTTTTTTCAGACTGAAAGAACTTTGGCTGAAATAATTGTACGCTAGCAGAAAATATTTCATAAAAAAAAAACGAAAGTTGTTGTGCAATTTAAATTAAAACCCAGTCCAATTGTCTTCGACACACAAGCTACCAAAACACCCAAGCAAAAAAGAAGAAATCTGAAATTGAATTTGAAATTCATCTTAAATTTAGTCACAAGCCCAATAATACACACAGATTGGTCATGGATTCGTATTTAATTTTACGTTTTATGTTTAAGAAAGTGCAACGTGTAAGTTACAAGTCATAAATAGCTGCATTTTAGTTAGATTAGAGCAATTGTTTTCGTTTTTAAACACGGCATTTATGTTTGCTTGGCTTTGCTTTAGACAAATGTATCTACGAATTCCTCAAGTATTTCATATCTCACAACACATACCAAAAAAAAAGGGAAAACTAGGAAAACTAGAGAAGAAACAAATCATGAGAGAGCGCCCTGAATTTTTGTTTTAGAAAATTCATTTATGTGTCAAGCAAGCGCAAAGCAAAACTGGCAAACTGAAAACTAAAGAGTATATATATAATAATAGTATAATAATATATAAAATATGAATGCCAGTCTTTGGCTAGAGGAAATTTGATAAAAACGATTATACAAAGGTGTTTATTGTGTACAATATTTTTGTAAAACCGAATTGAAACAATTGTTTTCTTTTGTATAAATACTCCAAACTCTTTACCCCCAAAACCCGTTTTTTGGCGCCCGTTTTACAGACGATACCGATACCAATACAGCAACTAGAAACTATTCAAATTTCAAAACTGCTAACACAAAATAATGACATACTCTATTATACACTATATATATGTACCATATATATATATATAGTCAAGTATTGTTAGTCTGTAGTAGTTGCATTTTAAATTAAAGGAACACAAGGCAAGAGTAAACAAAACAAAAGCAAAAACATGCTAATAAATTTAGATCTAAGATGATTAAAATTGGAATGTCGGCTTGATGCCTTCATTAAAAAAGTAATTTTCGTCAAATTAATTTTGGCCGTCGCAAAATTGGCTTAAAATTTGTGTCACAAAATGTTAGGCTTAATAAACAAGAGAATACAAGAATAAGAAAACCGAATGTTAAGCAGCAGTAATACAAATTCTAATTTATTATAAAATCAAATGAATAAAATATAAAAAAAAATCCAATATATTTTCTCAATTATTTTAAGCTACCATAAACTAGAGTTATAATTATTACAAGATGCTTTTAAACAAATTTTCAAGAGAATCTGAAGCTAGTTATAAAGAATTGGAGTGGAAAAAATCGTCTGGCGTTAAGCATCTTCTTATTAAAAGGGTTTTAATTACATTTTCTTAAACACATTTTTATTAAATCCAATCTTTAAGCATGGATAACAGCAGCTTTTGAAGTTGGTCTGCCATTTCTTTTCCTTCAACTCATCATTTAAATTTGAAGTACTTTCCAAATGGTTGAACTTCTTTAGCTATGGAAGCTTAGTGATAGCTCTACAAAGATGGCAAAATTATATAATTTATTTGGTCTTTCCGGAGTTGTCTTGATAATGATCTATATAATTTTAGATTCGCCAGCGATCATTGGAAAGCGGCACAGCTTTAAAGGAACGGGAGGATTCCCTAACGCTTCGCATTTTTCGACCTGAATTCTTTGAGAGCTTGGTGGGAGACTTGGCCATAATTTTCTTTTTCTGTACACGTTCCACCTTCTCCTTGGCACCACGATCTGCCTTTCGGGAAGACAATGGTCGCCGATCTGGATTCGATTTGATTGACTTTTGTTTGTTCCGGGACGTTCCAGGAGTCGCCATTTCCTTACGTTTTCCGGATGATTGCTTCGGGGAACCCTGAGACGCTGTGGGGACAACATCCTCAGCTTTGGCTCTGCCACAAACCATGGTCATCTTCTCTACCAGCTTGCTGATGATCTCCCTGTTTGCTGGCGGCTGGACCCTTAAGAATGTCTGCTTCTTTGTCAGATGTGAGGCTGTAATGGTGCTTGAAGGACAGTAATATTCCGACTCCAGAGTAATCGATGATGGCATTTCACGCACCGCCTTTGTGGTGCGATGCTTTTTTGGCAATAACTTTGTATTGGATATAACTTCTTCCACGACTTTTCCTCGAAGTACTTTTTGGGCCCCCAGGGAAATGTCTCTCGATTCCGACTCAGACGTAAGTTTTCGATGGCGCTCTATTATCATGTCGTAAATTGAGACTATCGGTGTGTCTAAATTTCGCGACATTGTTAAAATAATATTTAATAATGCTGAAGAATATATTTCAATAATTGTTTAACTCAAATTGTGTGTTTAGACGTTTTGAAATCGCCTAGTTTGTTTAGTTTGTATTGTTTTGAATGATTTTGCTATGAAAACGTAAATGGGAAACAAATGGGAAAAGTTAGCCTTATATTGAAATAATATTATAATATTTACATAATTTCTAACTGAGATGGCATTTTATTTTAATGTTTATATCTTTGCAGGGTACTAATAATTCAGCCAGAAGCTTGAAACATAGTGAAGGAGTTATGTTCGACCATATATAGTATATATATTCTTGATCAGCATCAACAACCGATTTTGTCGAACCACGATCGAGCCACCAAATAGAGGAGTGAGAGTAAGAGCGCGGGCGGGTGGGTTACAGATACCTATTTCCCTCTGTTACTCTCTGCCTTACTCTAGAGGTACCTCTTTCTCTCTAGCGCTCTCGGTTTTACTTTCTCTAACATTCTCTTCGCTGGGAGAGTATAAATAGAGGCACTAGGGTCGCGCGCGAATCAGTCAGTCCCGGGAGGCCGCGGAGGTAACATCGACAGTGATAGTGCATTTTGTGAAAGTGATTATGCTTCGACCTTATAAAGATAACGTGGCCTATGTAATAAATCTGGATAAACAGAAAGAGGATTACTTCACTGCACTGGAAGGAATTAAACCATGACGACAGCGGATAACTATGTGTCCTCCACTGGGGTAAGTCTTAATCGTTACAATTATATCGTATACAGAGATTCTATATTAGGGATTATGCCTAAGTCCAGAATCACCTAATTTTAACTTAAAGTGATTAAGCAATTTGTATTATCTGCAAATTTGTACTCAAAGTAAAGAGTCTAACTAAATTATAAATTAATCACAAATATTAATAATACGATCGTTTGGCACCAACTTTTGCTTCATTATTATACCTTTACATGGTATTATAATATCAGTCAGGAGCTTGCAATGCAGTGAAAGAGGCATTTCCGACCTTATAAACCATAATATATTATTGATCAGCATTAAGTACAGAGTCGTTCTATGTCCATCAATTTTTTTTTTCAAAATTTCAAAAAAATTTAAATTATTTTAATAGTTTTAAATTTATTAATCTAATAATAATAATAATAATAATAATCTAACACAGAATTGCTTTCCACCTAAAGTTAATGAATTTTTGCCTTAGTTATGATCAATTTCCTATTTTCTCTTATAAAAAATTACAAATTTGCAAGAATATAAAAACTTCGGTTTCTTGAAATTAACTTCCTTTTTTGTTTGTAAATTACTATTTTTATAAATCCCTTGATAGTAATTAATATTATTAGAATGTGGCTACTTTTTGTATTAAGGTCAGCCATTTCCGTTTCCATTTCCATCATGGCAACCTTAGATAAATTTTAAAGCATACTTTTTGGCATATGCATTGGCTGAGGCAAATGTCGAAAGTTTGTAAACATATTTTTGAGTATAAATATAGGGCAAATAAAATTAGCTGCAGCTCTGAATTGAGGCCAATATATTATTAATAAATATAATAATAAGTTGCGTACTTAATTTTATTAATTTATTGTAATAAAATTAGCTTAATCACTTGATATTTATTGCTCTTCTATTTTGCTTAAAATATTATAAGTAGGAGTCTTGTTATTTTAATTTTATTTCCAAGTTCTTATTAAATATATATAAATGCTTATTGGAAAACTTTTTTCAAATCGGTAACGACCCAATTCCAATTGCTCTGCTTTATTTCCCAACTCGTCCAAGTTCAAGATCCTACATGAAATCAAATGACTAAGATCACCGACTTTTGTGCCGCTTCTTTTGTTGCATTACAGCTCTCCCCTGGGCTATATCAACAAATGCGAAAGCCGCTCGCTGCCTGATAAGAATTCAAGTTCATTAAACCTCAAACGAATCAGGAACAATTTTGTGAAACAAAAAGTACGATTCCACTTGAATGTAGCGAGGTTTTAAGTCAGTGCAATGAGTGTATTTTTATTTGTTTATAACAAAAATAAAACAAAAGATAAGCTGATATTTTCGAACTTCAAATTATAAATTTTCTTGTTGAATTTAACTTGAAACTATTTAATTCCTTTAAAAATTTAAGGAAAAGATCTAAGATACGAGCAGTAAGTAAATAAAATACATTAATAATTAATAAGTATATATAATTTTAATACAGAGTCATTAAAATTTGTAATAAATTGAGATAATAATATTACCATCATAAAAGAGCAGTAACAAATTTTTAATTAAAATAAATTTCCTGTAATAATATTTAAATAATAAATAACAGCCATTACATACTAACACAACCTAAAACTCAAAAATTAAGCAATAAACATGAAAATTAAAATACCGCAAAATTATTCACATTCTCGCCAATTTGCTTAATAAAATTTTTCTAGAATTTCAATATTTGTTTTACGCTCTCTAAAGCACACACACATTCAAGCAACGACCGCACGCACTCTGCTCAGAAAAAAGAAAGAAAAGAAAGAAAATAAGAATCTTATCAGCGAACGCAGAAAAATAAGAGCAAAAAAGACACAAACACACACACTGTACAGTACAGTAAACACCTAAAGTCAAGCTGAAAACAAAAACAAAAAGAAAGCAAAAACAACAACAGCTACGCGCCGTGTTATTTTTCAAGGTTAAGAGCAAGTGCGTGTGCGTGTATGTGAGACGGTTTTTGGTTATGTGTGCGTGCGCACATTTTGCACATTGTGCGTATAAATAAAAAGAAGCAACAACAAACAGCAGCAACCAGCAACTCAACCAACACACAGCAACAAGAAATATAATTTTTTTATAGAGAGGCCGAGCTACGCACCGAAAAATTAAAAAAAAAAACAATAACAAAACTAAAGAGACTGCAACAACAAAGGCAGAGAATTGCGGTCGCCGCGACAACTTTATTTTCTTTTCTTTTCGTTCTTAAGTTTATGGCAACATAATAAACTTAGTGATTCCACGGACACCCGCCGGGTGGTTAACGAAACTGAAAAATCATCATTATTTAGGCCTAATATGCAATTGTGCGTTATTTTCCATGTGCCATTTGGTCAACGACCCAGGCAGAAAGCCCAAACAGCTGACACATTTTATTATCGTACAGTCGCCAGTGCGTTCTCCTCCCTCTCTCTCTTTACTTTACTCTCCCTCTCGATCTTTACTTTACGCTTCTCCTTCCTGCCTTGGCCCACCCACACAATTGCATATCCATGGATCACGCACACACACGGGCACACAACCCGAACAGTGCGTATACGTATTTAAATTGCGTATACGCAGCGGTTGCCCTCTGCGAGTTTAATGACTGATAAGATTGGAAAGCAGAAATTTGCCTAAACGAATTAGAAAGAGTTTTAAAAGTTAAGAAAGGAATATTCTGTTTTCTTGGTTATTATTTGCATTTCTTATTTATTTAACTATAAAAAACAGAGAACAAGTAGTGTATAGAGTACTTTAATATAGTTTTTTTTTTTTTAAGTTTCTTTAAGTGCTGTGATCTAAGCGGATCGTAAACCAGAATATAAACATAAAAATAAAGATAAATACAATTTATCTTGGATTTTTTAATGTACAAATAAAATCCAATTTAAGTAGATTTTTATTAATTCAAGAAAATGGAAATGGAAGAAAATGGAAAATTGCTCCATACATTCATCATTTGTTTAAATTTTACCTTAAGAATCACATAATATTTCATTTCATAAAATATAATTAAATCTATCACATTTTTAAGTAGTACAAAATTTCAATAAAATGACTCAAACACTCGGACTTTCGGGCCATAAAAGCATCGCGTCAAAGCCGCTTGCTGCTAATCTAAAAACGTCTTGAAACTTGTTGAATGACTTCTGGGTTGCCAATCAAGACCTTAAATTTCTATTGCCAAGTCAAAATTTGAGATCTGCCAAAGCAGCAGACCAGCTTTTATGGGTTATTGTTTTTTATCAACGAGCTTTATCAGAGATCTGCCGGTTGAAATCTGATAATATGGAAGTGACACACTCTGCAATATACCTTTAAGTTCATGTGATAATAAAAGAGAGGTATTTTAAGAGAGGAAGCTGCTGTAAAGAAAAGTTGTACAGACATTTACAGACCTTACAAAATGTTGTTTTCAAATTAATGTATATATTTAAGAGTAAGGGATCCAAGAAATATCTAGAAATTGTAACAATTTAATCAAAAGAGCTTGAATGAGACTGAAACCGCTTTTAAAACCATTTTTTATTTATTTAAAATAAATGTAATATTTTGAGCTGTTTTCTATTGTTAATAGTAAGCTTCACACCATAGAATAGCCTAGAATAATTAATCTTAATTGGAAAAATTAAAGTTTTAATTGTTCAATGTCTTAAAGAGAAGCAATAACAATCACAGGTTAAGACGAATTTTGTAACGATAATTATTATCAACAACCACAGGTACTTACAGAGCTTTGTAATAAAATAACAGGGAAATGATTTTAACAGTGGTGTAATGGGGAAGAGAATGGAAGAGAGTGTGTGAGAGGCTGCGGAGAGAGTAAAAGCCCCAAGCACGTGCAGATCGTAGGCGGTGAGAGCAGAAGAGAGCCAAGCGGGAGCTTAAGCGAGAGAATGAATGTCATTCATGCCAAGCTCTTTGCTCCCAGCCACAGTGGGGCAAAATTCACATGAATAATATTAACTAATAATTGTTTTTAAATATTCTAAAAAATTAATAAATATATTATGATAATTAGGATGTTTTCTTAACAAATAAAATTGTATGTGGAAAGAGCCTAATAAATGTGACTAGTGCACTAATTTATTAAGCTTGTGAAGCTGGGTAATATTTTTTAAAATAAATAAATATTATTAAACAGTTAAAAAATCTCAATACTTAATAAACAAATTTCTATTGTAAAACTCCTTAAGAACAAGGATCATAAGAAGCCCAGCTAAAAATATATTAGAAGTATATTTGTTTTTTAAATAAAATATTTGCTTAAGTTTCCTAATTCTATATTATTTGATTTCTATTCACTGTACCCGGCAGCGGGAGCATTTAACGGTCTGTGCGATCAGTACACTGTTACTCTCTCTCTGTTGCTCTCTACGGTACGATTCCCCCAAAAGCACAATTCTGTTAAGTGGCGATTCATGTTAAAGATTGAGAAATCTATATAATGCTCTCTGTACAATATCGAAATCGGGCGCCGTTGGATGTCTTCTTCCATGCTGAAGCGCGCCGAACTCGCGTTGTGTGTTGTGTGGAAAAGCAGAATAGCTATAGCTCTCTGGCCGATCGTTGTTGTTTCCGTCGCTGTGCCCTTCTCTGTTCGTTCGATTTGTTCAATTTTTCGCCTTTTCGTATTATTCGTTTATTTCGGTTTCGGCTCTACAAATCCCCAAAAAAAAAAAAAAAAAATCCCCCTGCTCCGTAGTAAAAGTCGCGTGTTATCAAAAATGTTTACAAGAAACCGACACATGTTTCATGAATAAAATAAAAAATATAATGAAAGAATGAAAAATATATATTTGTAAGCAATTGAGTTTGCAAAACAAAAAAAAAAGTGCTGACGATTTTTAATATCACAAGAAAGAAAACGAATTTTAATACGTTCCCCAACTCGTCTTCGCATTGTCGTTGCTTTCTGGGTGCGTTGTTTTTGTCATGTTTTATTTGTATACGCTTTTTATATTTTAATTCACATTCGCATTCATTCGCACACACTCGAAATTGCACAAAATGAAAACTGACGTTTCTTTTTTGGCGCTTTGTTTCGCGCGGGATAATTGACAAATATAACAAAAATCGACTTCGATCTCTCTCATCTTGCTCTCTCTTCCTATTTCTCCCCGATTCCGTTCCTGTTTCAGTTACTGTTTCGGCAGCAGTGCATAAAACAAATTGTTGATAAATTGCAGCACGCAAAAGAGAGGAGAGAAAATAACACTTTGCGCAGACGCAGCGTCGACTAAACAAAACAGTCTCGGAGTTTTTAAACTAAAACGGGAGTTTTTTGTTGAGATTTTAATTGGAGTTTTTAGCTGAAAGTTAATTTTTGAACCTTGAATTTTAAAGTTAAAGTTGAATTTTGGAATTGTGAATAAATAAAGTCTTTACTAAAAATAAAAGTAAATAACTATAAACAGTTGGAATTAATTTCGGAGTTTTACTGAAGTAAAGTAAAAGGAACTTTAATTTAAAAATATCACACAAGCTTCCCTTTTATGGTAATCATTTACCACTAAATTCATAAGTTAAAATGTAGTTTAATAAAGTTGTAAATATTGGAGAAACATAAAACAATTCCGATAACGTTTTCATATTTGCAAAATTATCAAGAATGTTTAGTTTTGTGAAAGTGTAAAGTTTCAAAAATGTTGATTGACGTTTAGACGAAAAGTCCGTTTTATTTTTCATAAATACTTAAAAAAAATTATTAAAAGTTTAACTAATTATTTATTTTTATTTAAAATTTTGAATTAAAAATTGTACCTTAATGAACAATAATTTGAATTCAATTCGGAAGAACATAAGCTTGAATAAAAGTACAAGAAAACTATCTTTCTTAATTAGTTTCAAAATAAATTGTTATTTAAAAATGTTTTGAATATGCTTTATAGTGAAAACGTAAAGCATTGCATAGAATGCGTTCATATTTCCAAAATTTCAAAGAATCTTTAGTTTTGTGAATATGTAGTATTTCCAAAAAGTTAAAGTTCTGACAAAATACGTCTCATTTCCCGTAAAGAATTTACCAAATTTCTGACAAGAGTAAAAGTTAACTTATTCAACTATTCAACACATATGTTGCAAACTTTGAAAAGTCATTATGACATTCAAAAAGTTTTTGGGCAAATAGAAGACTTCTTGAATTTAAGTAACAACGTTTAGCTCAAGGCCAAGTGGCTTTAATTGGAGATTAAATAAGTATATAGCTGCAATTAACAAGTTGTAAATATAATTGCTGGTAATTTAATCAATTAGGAAAGTTTAAAGCAGAGCCGTAATTTCCTGTTTATTGGATCACAACGTATTTATATCATTAGTTATGGCAAACATGCAATCATATTTAATTAATAATTCCCCTTTTACGCTTCTCTCTTTTACAGACTAAATAAAAGACAGAAAATAAAAGGAACCAGACAAGAGCCAGGGAATTATGAAATTTTAAAGAAATCCCCAAAAATCCAACCAACCGCAAAATATGTTTCATGCATTAAAATAAAGGAAACGTGTTTAAGGCGAGCAAAAAAAATATATATACACAAACATATACACGTATATACAAGTTAAACAAGATTTACATTTAAAATAACCGAAAAATAAAACATTAACAGGCAAAAAGGGGCAAAACGTTCACAAAAAGGTGATAATGATTATTTCCAAGGATCTTTTCATATTTGGCGAACAAATTTTTGCAACAATCATACCAGAAGGTGGAGCCGCAGCGCTAGCAACGCAACAGCAACAACAGCCGGCAATTATAAATACAACAGCAACATCAGCAGCAGCAGCAGCAGCAACACCAACAGCAGCAGCAGCAACACCAACAACACCAACAGCAACACCAACAACAACGACAACGGCGGCAACTTCGTTGGTAATAAACTCGACGGGATCGTCAGCAGGAGCAGCTGAACAAGTTGTAGAAGAGTCATTAAAAGTCGCAACAACAACAGCAGCAACACAAGCAACACCAGCCAAACAGGAAACAGTTGCAGTTGCTGTTGCCGCTGCTGTTGCTCCTCGCAAGTTGGCTAAAATTCCAAAAATTCCAAAGGAAGCCGAGGAATTGAAAGCCAAGAAAAAGGCAAAGTGCGAAGCGACTCATTACGAGAAAATGCCAATGAATTTGATGATTGTGGAAAGTGTTGAGCCGGTCGATATGGGATCGGACAATGAGAACGACAACGATAGCGAGTTGACCACAGAGCAGGTACCGTTGGTATCTGCCAGTCGACGCAATCTGGCCAAAATAGTTGCCGATTGTCGCCTCCAAATCGAAATGGAGCCCGCTGCAGCAACACCGGTGACTACAGCAGCAGCAGCAACAGCCACATCGGATGCGGCAGTTGCCACAGAAATTGAGGCAAACAGCGATTCCCCCTCGTCGTCATCTTCCAGCACCAGCTCAAGCTCCAGCTCCAGCTCCACATCCTCAGAATGTACGCACACATCACAAACAACGATACCAAGTACGGATAATCTAACGTCATCCAATGGTCTGGCCAATATGGGCAAAAGCATTTTAGTTGATGCCAAAAGGTGAGTTTTCAATCAGTGTTGACCCAATTTCAGTGCAATACCCACACAAAGTCAATTTCTATTTGATTTTTCTTACATTTTTTGGTACTTTAATTTTTTGGCTATGTATTCTCAATAAGGTGGGGAAAGTGGAGGTGTAATCCTCGAGGCTGGAAATCAAGTTTGCAACTTTGTAAATCCTAATGATACCGGTTGCATTCGGGTTGTATTAAGGCGATGCTCGATTTATACAGTTTGAGCGGAAAATCACTCCCTCACTCTACAAAAACAAAATAGACATTTAATTAATGAATAGTTTTGGTTGAGAACGTAACCATTCCGATGCTTAATTGATGGTCTTAATTGAAGTCAAATTAAAGTTTAATTACATTTCTACGAAACACATACTGCATGTGGCCAATGCTTATAACTAGAATATGGCAATAGGTTAGGGAGGATGTAAAATTTTTTAATTATTTAAAATTTAAATATAATTCCATAGTCACTATGGCTTACCCTGCAAATGTAATAAACTGCAACGTTTTACCCCAGCGGCATTGCAAACTTGTTCTTAAACTCGAACTTCCTGGCTGCCTTGGTCATGAGGATAAGCCAGGGGTATCAATCGTTTCTCCGGGAATATAAGTATGGTATTTCCCCAATGCATCTGGCATATTTTAGCATCTGCTAAAAACCCATCCTTCAGGCTCCTTTGGTTCTCCCTCCCCCCTCCCTGTCTGTTGCAACTTCCATGTGCCACAAAAAATACAACAAAATAAAAGTAAAAAAAAAATTTAAAGCAGGTCAAAATTGCAGTGTTATTTGGGTTAAATTTTGCACAGATACATAAAGAACAAGAAGAGATTGCCAAAAATAAATAAAAAAAGTAAAGTGCAACTAACTGAAAAATGCATACACTTGAAAAAAACGAAAGACTCACATGGGGAACCGAGTTCTCCACAAGGATCAGGTTTTTGGATAGGTTGTGCTTGTTATTGCAGTTTTGTAGTTGTTTCCCTGGATTTTTGTTGCTGTTCCTCATACCTTGATGCATTTAATGGGGGATTATACTCACACACACTTACACACTCTTGAAACCCCGTGTCGGTGTTGGCCTTTCCTGTTGGCCAGCAGCTGTTGGCTTATATTTATTTATTATTTTGTCCTGCTGGGAATTCTTGAAAATAATTAATGAAGATATACTTTTACTAGTCCCAGGTAGTTTGCGGTATTTCGATTGCAATTTAAATTGAGGAATTGTTGTATGGAAAATATCCATAACACAAATTATGTAAGTTGTGAGGAAAACAGCTTGGCAAATTGTCAAGATTTTTCTACTAATTGGAAGGGAATATATGTATGTATATTCCTCACATTACCCATAAAATGAATTGCGAACAAAACATTATTCTGAATGAATCATGGATGGCAGTCCCTGCGCAACATGTTGCTTATTTTATTTTTTCTTTTTCCCTGATGCCAAATCGAGCATCAATTCCATCTTCCGATGCTGTTGTTACTGCTGCTGCTGCTGCTGCTGTTGCTGTTGCTGCTGCTGCTGCTGTTGCTGCTGCAACTTAAACTGGGTCAACTGCGAACCAATTTTCAGGCAAAAATTGCGACAACGACAGCGGCGGCAACGGGCAAACACACAATAATAATCACAAGAGTAGCAGCAGCGAAAAAATAAAAAATAAAAATAAAACGTGCCACACAACATAAAGGCAAACAACGAGAAAAGATGCAGCAAAAAAAATGCATTTAAATTGCTCTTCGGCACAACAACAACATAAAGTTTAAGGAAAAATATCAAGACAGAATTCGGATTTAAATTCTTGAACAGAAATCACCGACATTGAGTGCACTCTAAATCGCATAATAATTGAAAAATTTACGTTAAATGCACATAATGATGAATGCCTGCATCGCAGCGACCCAACAATGTTCTCATTGTAATTTAATTTACTTAATTTGCCAACACATAATTGAGACTTGTGCGAAACTCGATCTCAGCATTAACCCAAAGTCTGTCCGTCAGACAACGGCGACAGCCGGAGTGACAAACGAATTAAAATAAATAATTGAAATTGCTGGCCAACTCACAGTTGGAGTCAGAGTCGAGAAAGGAAAAACCACCCGCTTTGCTATTTAATTTTTTTCTTTCAAGAATTGCAAAAGATCTTTGCAGAGCTCTGGCAAATGATTATGGTATTTCTTGATTTTTTTCACAGCGCATTTTGCATTATAGCCAGGCTTTAATTGAGCCACCTCTAAAGGGCAGGCCAAAACAATTGGGCAATGGAATTTCAGTTAATTGCAGTTTAGCTACAAAAATAAAAACAAAAAGCAAAAGGGAAACAAATTTTGGGTTGATAATTGTTGTGTTACTTAGGGTATTTTGAGAAGTTTTAGATAATAGTTTTGCAACATAAAAATCATTTATTTATTTGCATTTTTTACAATCCTATATAATTTCTTATTTAATTTAATATAGATTACTGCTAATTTGAGGGCATTTAAAATTATATCTTACTTTTTAAGTCCTTGTTGATATTATGCTCAATATTTAAGGCATCTTTAGAAAACCATCTGTGGCTAAAGAGTTTATGCCCGATTTATTTTTGTTTATAACAATTCAAGAACATTTCAAAGCGCTGAGCATAAGAAAAACCAAAAAGTTTGGAAAAGAAAATTCCATTTACATTTTGGAGTAAAGAAATCTCAAAACAAATTGATGATTTTCTTCGTTTCAAGTTTGTTGAACTTTTTTCCGATTTGTGGCAAAGGGGGATAGATGGAAAATCTAAAGCACAAACAATGCATTTTCTTCCCCAATTTTGTTCCACAAACAATTACTTTTAGTTCACGTTACTGGCGGCGACTTTTATTGGAAAATACTTTTGGAAAATTGAGTACAAACTGAGTAAAACAAACAAATCCCCCTGCGGTTAGGAGGCTGTAAGTTGCAAGTATTGTTTTTGGCTTGAAACAATCAGCCATAAAACTATAACAAAGCGATAAAAATCTTAAGTGAAGGAGGTGCCTTGGGGTCAGAGTTCGTAAGTGGTATCAAGTTCAATTGTGTAACACAAAACGGTTTGAATAAATCGGGAAAATATTTTATGTAATTTCTTTATTGCTATATTTGTTTGAATATTTATATTCTTGCTAGATTTGTTTAATAATTTATAAAGAATTTTAATTTAGAAGCACAGAAATATAGAAATAACCCTAATGATTGTAACTAATCTTATTTAAATCATTCCCTAAACTTCCTTTTATCGAATGACAAACTTTTCAGGATCCAATTCGTTGCAAAGCTTCTAAGTGTCTGGGGGGCAAACCCACCAAAAAAGTTTCCTTAGTGTAATAAACCGGTTATTAGGCTTGTATTTAGGTCAAGTTTTAATATGATAACACACACACACTCTCACACAGAGAAATCCAAAGGCGTGCCAAATTCAGAAATTCAGGCAACTACAAATGGCGCATTTCCAAAATTATTTGGGTTTGGTTTAATTTGATTTGATAGAACATAAACAGGATGGGGTAGATTTGAGTTTCAGTTTGGGTTTTCTAGGTAGGGAAAAAGGATTGAGAACTAGACAACGCAATAAATGAGAATAGTTTTGTTGTTTTTTTTTTTTGTTTGGGTATTGAAAGGTGTGCAGCTGGCTGACTATCAAAAAAGGTTTAACAAAAGCTATTTCGCGGTGGATGAGTTTCAATGCTTCCTGCCCCCTTTTCAATTTCTCTATTTTATTGTTAACTATAAATTTGAATATTTGTTTGCTCCTGGGGTATTTGCCTGCATTTCTATTCAAACTATTTTATATCCCTGGCAGGGTATTGTATTCATTTAGAAGATTAAAACGTAGTAAAGTAGTCTTTTACGATTCTATGAAGTATATATATTATTGATCAGCGTTAAAAGCTATGTCCTGCGAGAATATATTTTTTTTCAAAATTTTGCAAAATATTTAAATAGTTAAAATTGTCAAAATTTTGGCATAAAAATTGAATTTTCTAAATTTTGGAAATAAATGTGCAGATTTGTTAGCTTTATAAAAATTAGCAAAGAAATGCTTTCCGAATTGAAATTAATACATTTTTGGCTTAGTTATGCAATATTTAACCTAAGGGTATACCCAGTTCGGCTTCCCGAAAATAGCTATCTTTTTTGTTCACAGAATATCTTTATTATAGAATAATATATTCACAGCTAATAATTAAAAATTAAAAACATCTGCCGTCTTGCAATTAAATTGAATTAAATTTATAATAATTTAGTGAAAAAAATTAATGCTGGCACTATAAATTTGATTAAAAATATAGAAAAATATATAACTTCTTTATTATAGAATAATATATTCAAAGCTAATAATTAAAAATTAAAAACATCTGCTGTGTTGCAATCAAATTGCGTTGAATTTATAATAATTTACCAAATAAAATTAATGCTAACACTTTAAATTTGATAAAAAGTATACATAAAACATTGAAACTAAACTGTGTTCCTTACCATTTTAAAATTGATTAGAGCTATATATTTTTAAATAAAAATAATAACGAAATTTTAAACCAACTAATAAATTCTACCCTTTGATAAGGCAATGCTGCATTATTACAATGAAGATATATGTGTAATTAATGAAAATTTAAATCTCCAGTACTCTGATTAACTTTGAGTTAGAAAGAGATCACCTTTGGCCGAGTGGGCGCCCAGTTGCATCTCGTTCCAAGTTGTGATCTAGAAAATCTCCCCAACAAGACGTGACAAAACAAATTGCCAGACGACCGAAACAGGAAAAACCATTGCGCAATGCATTGCAAAAAAATAAAATAAAAATAAATAGGAAAACGAAAAACGAAAAAAAAAAAACAGAGTAAATAAGGCAGAAAAATTGCAATTTATTATAATTTAATCTAGAATAGAAAATTAAATAGAGCCGGAGGAGCAGGGCTGGCGTTGCCTCTGTTCGTTCTGTTCGGATCGCTGCATACATTGTGTGCTGTGTGTG